GCCCGCTCCCTCCAGTTGGTCTATGTGGAATCTGGGCAGGTGTGTGGGAAGTGCCCTCACCTGAAGGACTGCTGGGTTGTGAATAGCAGTCCTCATTCTGACCAGCCCCTGCTCCCTCTGAACAGTGGAAAATTGAACTTAAAAACAATCTAACAATCTAACAATCTTGATTTATACAACCAAAACAAAGCTGAGAGGGTGGATCTAAGCAGACAGCTGAGCATTTTTGGTTCTTGTTCATGTGTGTGTGTTCCCTTGCTCTGATTACCTCATAATTTCCTAGGGGTATAGTGAAGGTGGGCTTTCCTGGGGGCCTGCTGTCCTGGGTCAGTACTAACAGATGCGCGAGCACTTCGAACCTCTAAAGGAAGGGACGTGAAGGAGAAAATTGTAACTTCCAGCCTGCTCTGTCCTTTGACTCCTGATGGAACACTGTGCCTTGACTTCGACCAACAGAGTGGCTGCTGTGCAGATTAGCTGGCCCAAGAAGAGTGGTTTGTGTACCAGATTGTCCTTGACTGTCTATCCACATCGCCATGGATGCCGCACTCAGGTGGCAGATGTTCCACTCTGGAGTATGGGAAGGCAAGTGAAGACAGAGCTGATGGCCTGTTGATCAGTGCCACCCAGCCCTCAACCTTCCTCCTTTGCATCCCCATAACTGCTTACAGCTTCTGATGAAGTGGCTCTCAGCGGGCAGGAGGGGGTGCCCTAGTGAACTCAAATCACCAGGTCGTGGGCAACTGTCGGAAAATAAAGTGACATTTCAGAAAGTTGAGACTTTAATGATCATTTTTGTTCCATTCCTCCTTCCTCCTCCACCTCCTTTCTCTGAATTTGTACTTTGAAATACCTCTTCGAAGGATGGCAGCAGACAGGTAATTATAATGTTCCTGCAACTCCAGCCTCCTTCGGCATTTTTCTGGTGCCAGTGAGCTGCTTTGTGCTCCTCCCTGCCTTTGTTGTTGTCAAGGGACAGTAGGGTCATGAGGGACATCACTGGGACACAAGACCAGTGATGTAGAGACATGGTGTGGGGATGTCGCTAGCATGTGCCATGCTGAGCCTAGGCACGTCCCTCTGGACCATTGCTTTGCAGCATCTACTTTACTGTTCTGAAAAGGAATGAAGTTCATAGGTATCTGTTCTACTTACACTCAGAGCTAAAACAGAAATGTGCGCAGTACTCATATCTGTAATATAATGGAGAAAGAAAGGGGTGCGAAGTGTCACAAGATCATTTGTATTTCAATAGGTCAATGCTTGGGTACAGTTGTACTAGATGCTGAGAAGGTGACGGTAAAAATGTACCTGGTGGAGGTGTCACTATGGGTGATGAGACTTCTCTTTTAAAATGGTGAACAACTCTTGGTAAATTTCTAAACAGACAAAATCCTGTCACCTGTGATTTGCAAGGTGGCAGCCTTGCAAAACATGCGCAGAGCATCTGGGCAGCATGAGTCCGTTAGCTCCTGGAACAATGCCTGCTCTGTAATAGAAATTTAGAAAGTACTTATTTGTGTCAGGTGAGTTGCCACTCTCTTCAGAAACCTGTTGAAACAATAGAAAAGACATTTTATTTGTTTTTTAAAATGTTTTATTGATTTTAGAGAGAGAGGGAGAGGAATAGAGACATAGAAACATCAATAGAAGAAAATCAACATTGATCGGCTGCCTCCTGCACGCTCCCTACTGGGGACCAAGCTCACAACTCGGGTATGTGCCTGACCAGGAATTGAACCCGCGACCTCTTGGTGCATGGGACAGTGCTTAATCAAAAGCCACTCTGGCCAGGGCGATAGTAAATGTTTTGATTGAATCCTCTGGTCATCATTTTTTCAAAGTGAGTGATTGAAATTCTTCAGCAATAAATCTTCAGACTAAAGAATTGTCAGAGCTCATTCATAGTGAAGTTTGGTTGGCACCCAACTTTGTTTACAGTAGGGAGGTTCTGCCTTTCTACTTGCCTCTTTCTTTGGACTTGCTATGTCTATATTGTCTATGAATTTATAAAGCACACTCTTAAGTTTTTATCCAGATTTGGGACATGGTAGGGTGAGGGGCAGAGTAAGCATGAGGAATATGTTTGAATTTGAATTTTTGGATATCCCAGTGAGTGTGTCAGTTGAGGGGTTTTCCATGCATGCCATCTCCCCCCATCTGGGTTTGACCTCTTGGCTCCCGGGGCAGTCCTCACCTCTCAACTGGACCCTGCTCTCCGCAGTAGGGACCCGCTGCCCACTTCTCTCAGACAGTTGCTTAGCCTTCCTGGGGGTGCTCATGCTGGCGCCAGGTATGGGGGCTACCTTTCCCTAGAGGCCAGGGATGGCACCAGGGGGCTCCAGAGAATACAGTCACTGTGAGTCTAAATCACTTCAGTGGTGACATTGCTCAGCCATCAAACTGAACTCCAGCTTCTCCTCTGCAGTGTCCCCTGAGAATCTTGTTCTCTGGTGAGCCCTCTGACCCAGCGGTAGGAGTCAGGAGGGGGTGTTGGGAGGACAGCAGCCCCTCCTTGTTACCAGTTCCCAATTCTTAGTGCCTGTCCCCATGGGTCCCATGTTTGTGTTTGGCAGAGCATTGAGCAAAGCTGCTGGAGAGCAGGGATGGGGTGTCCTTTCTGACATAGACCAAAATTAATGTCCTGTTGTCCTAGGTGGAACTCAGGCAGATGGGTCAGCAAGGTGCCCAGGGTGCACAACACTCATGATTCTGGATATGGGAGGGAGCCCAGAGGGTATGGAGCATGGGTGCCATCTCTCTGTACCCTGTCTCCTCCCATTGGGCCACAGCGCCACCTTTGGGTGGCTTGGCCACAGGCCGTTCCTTTCAGGGGGCTGGCCTGGGGGAGGGGAGCAGAGCAGTGTCTAGTCCCTGAGTCCTGAGCCTGCGGGGCTGATCTGCCACATGGAGGCAGATCTGATGTTGCCTAGAGGATGGGCATTCACATCCAGTCTTCCTGGAAATTGCCCTCACAGAAGTTGTGGAGACAGAACCGAGAGGAGGCGAGTCCTGGGCCAAATCTGTGCTTCCTGTTTGACAGAATTCCAGGAGCTTCCACTCAAAGAAGCTGGTTATCAGCAGATGGAAGCTGGGGGAAGGGCAAATGCAGAGGAGGTATGGTGGAGACAGACATGAGTTTTGTTTCTTCCAGAAGAATAGTTCTTTCACATGAGAATATATGCAAGGGAGTCCTCTCACTTTTAAAAAATATTGTGGTAAAATACATGTAACATGAAATTTACTATTTTAATTATTTTTAGGTGTATAGGTCAGAGGCTTAAGTACATTTACACTGTTGTGTAACCGTCACCACCATCCATCTCCACAACTTTTCCATCTACCCAAACAGAAACTCTGTCTTCATTAAATACTGACTCTGGAGCCCCTTCCCCAAGCCCCTGGTAACCTCTAATCTACTTTCTGTCTCTATGAAACTCACCACTCTAGGGTCCCCATAGAAGTGGAGACATACAGTATTTATTCTTCTGTGACTGGCTTATTTCCCTGAGCATAATGTCCTCAAGGTTCATACATGTTGTAGCATGTGTCAGAATTTCATCCCTTTAAGGCTGAACCGTATCCCACTGTAAGTATAGACCATTTTGTTAGTCCTGTCATCACTTGGATTGATGTCCCGATGAACACTGGGATTGTTTCCACCTTGGACTATTGTGAATAACACTGCTGTGAACATGGGTGTGCAAGTGCATACCTGCTCGGTTCCCTGCTTTCATTTCTTTTGGGTATTAACCCAGAAGTGGAATTTCTGAATCATATGGTAATTCTGTGTTTAATGCTTTGAGGAACTACCATACTGTTTTCCATAGTGACTGCATCATTTTACATTCCCACTTGCAGTGCACAAGGATTCCGATTTCTCCACATCCTCACCAACCTTTGTCATTTCCTGTTTTTCTTGATAATAACCATCTAATGATGTAAGGTGATCTCTCACTGTGATTTGATTGCATTTTTCTGATGATCAGGGGTATTGAGCATCTTTTCTTGTGTTTGTGGTCATTTGTATATCTTCTTTGGAGAAATGTCTATTCAAGTCTTTTGCCCAATTTTAATTTTGTTGTTGTTGTAGTTGTTGAATTGTAGGATTTCTTTATATATTCTGGATAGCAGTCCCTTGTCGGATATGTGATTTTCAAATATTTTCTCCCATTTCATGGTTTGCATTTTCCTTTTGCTGAGTCTCATTTGGTGCATGGGAGCCAGGTTTTTGACTTGCAGTTAGGAGTTGGCCAGGCAGAAGTACAGTGGGAGAAGAGGCACCGATACCTGAGGTACCAGGAGGGTGCTGGGTGCAGGTGCTCTGAGATCAGCTTGCACATACGCACGCACACATTGTGTGAGAGAGACACCTATGTTTAAATGCTCATTTCCAAGCCCTCTTGAACTTTTTAAGGCGTAAGAAGTGGGGAAGAAACACTGAGCCTTTAGGAAGTTTCTGGTTGGTCCATAAACCAGTTGAAGGTCTTATATGTAAGGTAAGATGTCTAGCACCGTCCCTGATCCTACCAACTTCTCTTGGACTGACTTTTTCCCATAAAAGTATAAAAATATTAAAAACTAAAGACATAGCATTGCATAGGTTCTGCAGAGAGCTCTCCAGAGAAATAGCATTTTAGAAATTACTTTACCCTTAGTAGTGTTCTAGGCACACTCCAATTGTCAGTACCTGGGGGCTATGGGGAACCCAAGAACTCAGAAATTTCTTGACTTGAGATCCACACAAAGTGGGTCAGTTGAAGATGAGCCATCCTTCTGGGGCCTGCTGGACTCTACTTCTGTGCCATCCTCCCTTTGCCCAGTGCTGTGGTACTTAGCCTGCCTGGGTCCCTGGGCTGGAGCCACAAGAAGGCTTCAGCTGGGGATAGCGTGCCCCTGCACCTGGCTCTGCTGGGCTATAGAGACTGAGCCCTGGCTAGGCGGATCCTGGCAGGCTCCTCTCCAGGCATTGCCTTCAGCTGCCCTTTGCTTCCTTGCAGGGATAGACTACAAGACAACTACCATCCTGCTGGACGGACGGCGGGTCAAGCTGGAGCTCTGGTGAGTCAGGCTGTGTGGGATTGTGGTGCCTGGGGGTGGGGGGGCTACAGCACTTCAGAGCTATTGCTGGAGCCTTGGTAGCTAAATGAAGAAAGTCAAGAATCCTTAAAGGAACAGGAAGGAAGGAGTCCTATTAACATTTTACGTGGAATAGCTGTTTAAAGAGATCCTGTGTAAACATGGAATGGATTTTGCTCTGTGATGCAGAAACCAAAAGGTCCAGGGCTGCTTGTTCTGATAGAGCCCAGCTGTCTTTGCCCATAAAGACTCATTTCCACAGTAGTCACGGCCCCCCTTCCCTTGCCCTTTACTGGGCTACACATTAAGGAGCATTTTCCAGAACCTTGAAGTTTGGAATTCTCCAGCCTGGCAGGGTGTCTCCTGGGGCACTCAGGCCCACAGAGTTGGCCTGTGGAGGGGGAGGGAGAGCACCTTTTAGGGATCACAGGCCGAATCCCACTGACTCTCCCTGTGTTTCAGGGACACGTCGGGCCAGGGCAGGTTCTGCACCATCTTCAGGTCCTACTCCAGGGGCGCACAGGTAAGACCAGCAACACTGCCGGTGCTGCTCTCCAAGTCATGTTTCTGTTCTGTCAGACCCCATGTGTGTGAGTCTAAGAAGTTTTTGTTTTGTTTTTTAAATATGTTTTTATTGATTTCAGAGACAGGAAGGGAGAGGGAAAGAGACCTAAAAACATCAATGATGAGAGAGTCATTGATTGCCTGCCTCCTGCACAACCTCCACTAGGGATTGAGCCCACAACCTGGGCATGTGCCCCGACTGGGGATCGAACTATGACCTCCTGGTTCGTAGGTTGACGCTCAACCACTGAGCCACACTGTCCAGGTTGTCTAAGAAGTTGTGTTTTTTGTTTTTTTAAAATATATCTTTATTGATTTCAGAGAGAGGAAAGGAGAGGGAGAGAGAGAGATAGAAATATCAGTGATGAGAGAGTCATTGATTGACTGCCTCCTGGATGCCCCCGACTGGGGATCGAGCCTGCAAGCCAGGTATTTGCCCTGACTGGGAATTGAACCCCTATCACCTGGATCCTAGGTCAACGCTCAACTGCTGAGCCACGCCCGGCTGGGCTAAGAAGTTTTATTTATTTATTTATTTATTTTTAAATATATCTTTATTGATTTCAGAGAGAGGAAAGGAGAGGGAGAGAGAGAGAGATAGAAACATCAATGATGAGAGGGTCATTGATCAAGCCTGCAACCAGGCATGTGCCCTGACCGGGAATCGAACCCCAATCGCCTGGATCCTAGGTCGATGCTCAATCGCTGAGCCATGCCCNGTGCCCTGACCAGGAATCGAACCCCGATCACCTGGATCCCAGGTCAATATTCAACCGCTAAGCCACGCCCGGCCGGGCTGTCTAAGAAGTTTTAATGTTGGGACATCAGGCTTCCACTAGACTGCCCTCTGAGCAAGGAGCCTCAGCTGTCAGAGGGCACCAGGTCCCTGTGTTCCCGCTTTGTGTTCCTGCTCTGTACTTCCACTGGCTCCTGTGGCCTGTGCTAGGACCCTGTACTGTGGAGATGCTACTTGGTCGCCTGGTTCACTAGGAACCAAAAATGACATCCCCATCACCCAGGACCTCCATGTGTGTGCTGGGGTAGCCAGGTCCATCACAGGCCTGGAGGCCCCCAGAGCAGGCTAGGCTGAATTCCTAATAAGGACTGTGAGGACTGATTATTGGAGCCACTGTGAGAGGGGCTGTTCATAGAGGCAGGGCAATAGCAAAGAACAGGAAATGGGGGCTATCCAGGGGCTGCCATGGACATATACCCAAGTTTGGGTGGGTGTGCAGGGGGTGGGATGGCACGCTGGGAGCTGTACAGGGGCATTCTAGGGTGACATGTGAGGACACCTTAGGGGAGCATGCGAGGGCTCTCTTGCACCTCCCTGTGTCCTCAGGGCTCACGAGCCTGCGTGCATGCTGCTCAGATCAGTGTATGATTTGAGGCTTCAAGGAGAAGGGAGAAGTAGTTGCTATAGGTTGTCACTGCTGTGTCAATGTGAGGAGTCTGATCAGTCCTGTCTGTAATGCAGAGCAGGCCATGACCCCGTCCCCCCATCCAGACTCCTGGAATTGCCGAGGAGACCCCCAAGTTCAGGCCTGCCCAGCTCTGCTCTACACACCAGGCAGGGTCCTCTGCCAGGAGCAGCACACACTTGTATGAGAGGGGGCACTTGGGCACATTTTTGGGGCCTCTCACTGTGTGGGGCACAAACTCCAGGTGGGTCTGTACTCACCCCCTTACTCTGGCTTGGGCTCATGTGGAGCCACATGGGATGTCCTTTTAGCTTTGTCAAAATTGGTGACATGTGCAGCTACCTTGGCACTCTGCACTCCTGCTGATCTTTCTGCTGCGTGGGGCCTGAGGAGGCCAAGAGGGAGAGAAGTCTGTGGCAGGGGTCTTCCTGAATCTGCTTGGGTGGTGTTAGGGACAACTTACACTTCCTCCAAAGCCTTCCTCAATAGGGGCTTCTCAGACCTGGTGGGAGGCAGGGAGACACTGAATATAGCCTTCTCTGCTTGAATGGGGGGGCTGAGGACCCTCCAGGCTGGGCTTGGCAGCTCTTTTCCTAGGCGCACCTGCAGAGGTGTGGGTGATGGCACTTGGAGCCCTAGCTTGATGGTCTCCCAGTATGTGCTGGCACTGGGGGCCTGCAGGAGTGGAACTTCACCTAGCAGTTCTACCTGAAGCAACTGATTCTAAATATTCAGGGTGTGGATCACAACTTAGGGACGTTTGTCAGCACCCCACATCTCCAGAGGTGAGATCAAGTAGTGAGAACTGCCTGTAGCACCTAGTGCCCTTCTGATGAGCATGTCCCATGGGTCCCCTTTTTTTTTTTTTTTAAGAATAACTGCATGTGTGACTTTATACATACAAGAAGAGGAAAAAGCTGTGCTCCGAGTGGCAGTGCTGGTTGCCACGAATGACAGTGTGACCGAGTGCTGTTGTCTCCCTTTGCTTTTGAATACCTCCTAATTGTTCCACAGTAAACACATACTACTTTTGAAATTAAAAAGAAAATGAAGAGATAAAGGGGTAGTTCTTGGGTTATGATAAAGAAGGGCAATTGGGAAACATCGAGAAGGCACTGAGATCAAACCTAGGAGGACTCAGCTGTTGTATGTACTCTGGGTACGAACGTGGAACAGAGGGCAGAAGTCGTTTCTGTTCAGCTAATTGAGGACACCTAACAAGCTTGGGCAATTGCCAAATTATACGGTGTTTTGGGGAAGCTAACACTGAGTCATCACCTTCGAGTTCTCTCCAAAGCTTCTAGTCCAGTTGGTAGTGTGTGTGTTCTTGTTCTTGCTTTATTTCTTGAGGTTCTTGTCAATTCTGTGCTGAAGGAGCCAGTCACACATCTTGGGCCAGAGGGCTCCGAGCTCGAGGCTGCCCTCTGGTGCTCTTATCTCAGTGGCATTGCGCTGCTCTGTCCCATTTCCAGCCTGCCTGATGGTGGCAGCACAGACGTGAAGGCAGTACCCAGAGTGAGCACCGCCTGATTTTGCTGCTCTCTATGGCCCCTGATGATACGCTGAGTAGCAGAACCTTCTTTCCCAGTCAAGTTTTATATTTCCAGTCACTTTCTCACCCTTGGTTAAGACTGGAGAGACCTTGCAGTTCCCTCAGGGGCCCAGGTTACAAAAGCTACCACCAACCCCTGCCTGCTGTCACCAGTTCTGCAACAGGACTGTCTTGTGGTTCTTACCATGAAAAATAACCTTTCTGTTCCCGACCTCCTAGACACATGGCCCTTGTTTTCTGATGCTGAATTCTGAGGTGGCCTCTCAAGGCCCTGGGAGGCCAGTGTCTGCTGCTGAAGAAAGCAGGTCCCCTGGGCTCAGTATGCTGAGAGAGCTGGAGGTAGGGTGGGGTGGGGAGGTGAGACATCCTGATTAGTTGAGGGTTTGGGCCAAGCCCTCAACTAATTAGTTGGAAGAGCTAGGCCAAGCGCTGGTCTCCTTCTGGATAGAGAGAGATCAATTTGTTCACACAAAAAGGGGTTTTACATCGACAGTGGTTTGGGGTACACACTTACTTTTCAGCTAGCGCTGATTAGGACACCAGTGTGCTTCTAGTCACCAGTTGGGTGGGTGGGCATATGGGTCGGGGACCATTTGACAGTTGCTCCTCACTTTCAGTGAGTCACTTACTTCTGGGCAGAGCCTAAGTACTTGTGGGGTGGGACAGAGGCTTCCATGTGCAGCCTGTGTTCCTTGGGAGCTCTATCATACAAATACATTGCACATGCTAAAATTGAATTTAATTTTTTTGTTGTTAATTCTCACCTGATATTTTTTCCTTTTTTTTTAGAGATAGAGTGGAAGGGAGGGTGGGAGGCGGATAGAGAGAGAAACATTGACGTGAGAGAGACACATTAATTGGTTGCCTCCCGCTTGTGCCCTGTCCAAGATTGGGGATTGAACCTTCAACCCAGGTACGTGCTCTTGACCAGGAATTGAACCTGTGACCCTTTGGTGTGTGGGCCAATGCTCTAACCACTGAGCACACCGGCTAGGGCAAAATTGAATTTTTAAAAAATATACCTTTAACTGCTTATTTGGAGCATAGGGGCAAGTATCTTAAAATAAGTGCCATACCCTTTGGATTCCAATCCCACTAGCTCACTGTGCAGCTCCGGAAGGTGGTTTCACCCAGTGGTGAACCTCCATGTTGTTGACTTTCGGATATTGTTCCCTGTCATTGCTATGTCCAAGGCAGTTGTACTACTTTAATGGAATTGTGTAGCTAAAAATGCTTTGAGAAGTATATAACATCATGTGACTATAAATCAGGTTTTCTTCTAATAGCTGAAAGTAGGAGAAGCCTGTCCCAGGATCTTCAAATGGAGTATTCTAGGTTTAACAGTCTGTCATTCGACAAATGTTCATTCCACCCCTATGACATGCCAGGCACATTTGAGCGAAAATGTGATGGAGGAGAAAGAGATATCCAATCTGGATTGGAAGAGTGTTTTAGGCAGAGGTAACAGCCAGTGCAAGGCTCCTCTGGGGTGGGAGTATGCCTCGTGTTTTTTTTAAATATGTTTTTATTGATTTCAAAGAAAGGAAAGGAAAGGGAGAGATAGAAACATTGATGAAAATCATCATCACTCAGCCGCCTCCTGCACTCCCTTTACTGGTATCAAGCCTGCAATCCAGACATGTGCCCGGACCAGGAATCAAACCTTGACCTCCAGATCATGGGTGGACACTCAAACACTGAGCCACACCGGCCCGGCTGCCTTGTGGGTTTTTTATTTTATTTTTATTTTTATTTTATTTATTTATTTTTTAAATATATCTTTATTGACTTCAGAGACAGGAAAGGAGGGGGAGAGAGAGAGAGAGAAACATCAATGATGAGAGAGTCATTGATCGGCTGCAGCCCGCAACCCGGGCATGTGCCCTGACTGGGAATCGAACCCCGATCGCCTGGATCCTAGGTCGACACTCAACCGCTGAGCCATGCCCAGCCAGGTTGCCTTGTGTTTTTCAAAGAACATCAATTGGTTGCCTCCCATACAAACCCCAATCAGGGCCAGGGTACATGCCCTTGGCTGGAATGGAACCCGGGACCCTCCAGTCTGTAGGCTGACACTGTAACCACTGAGCCAGACCAGCTAGGGCTATCTTTCTGTTTTAAAATATCATACTGTCCCGGCTAGTGTGGCAGAGCGTCAGTCACAGGTTTGATTCTAGTCAAGGGCCCATACCTGGGTTGCAGGCCCTGGTTGGGGCATGTGCAGGAGGCAGCCAGTCAGTGTCTCTCTCTCATATTGATGTTTCTCCCTCTCTCTCCTCCCTCCCTCCCTTCCACACTCTAAAAATCCATGGAAAGAATAGCTCTAGGTGAGGATAACAAAAGAAAAGACACCACACAGTATGTAATGTTTGGGATCCGTGCTTCTCACCAGACCGTCTGTTGTGCACCTGCCCAGGATCAGCACGTATGCTTTGAGGTGTACTGCTGTTACTTTTATCATCTGTGAGGCATGTCTGCACCTCAACTTACTGGCAGCCCCAGCCGCACATGCAGTTTGTTTCATGCTGTGATGAACATCTGTGAGGGCTGGTCTTCGGACACATCCTCAGTGAATTCTTAAGAGGGCATTTGGAAAGTTGATGACACATCCCATCTGATCCCAGACCAGAGGGCTTTGTTCCCTGTGCCTCAGGCGACAGGACTCAATCCTGCTACCCTGTGGTTTCCTTCCAGTTTTACTCTCTGTTCCCATCAAATTTCTGCTGTTTCAAGTGGGCTCAAGGGGGTCTTTTCTTCCAGTCATAGCCCTTCCTCCTGGGGAGGCAGGCAGCTCTGCTTGTTCTGTATCAGGCTTTCTGTCCAGAGTAGGCGTTAAAGTAATTTCTGCATTCCTCTTAACAAGACCTAGGGGCTACATTTAAGTCTTCCAAAATTCGAAGGACATTTTTAAGGAGAAAGGCTTTAAAATCACTCATTTTGAGATAGAGACATCCTTTGCCTTCTATCTCAGCTGCGCTTTTTTTCCTGCCTGTGTGTGTGTTGGAGATGTAGGCTGAATGAGGACACAGTGGGACAAGGAGGGTGTGAGCCAGCTTCAGAGTGAAATATAGAGCCAGATGGGTACGGTGGGGATCTGGGAGCACTCTAGAGTCACTTTCCTGAGGCCTGTGACAGGTCACTGCTGAGACATTCAGGGCAGATGGAGACAGCCCAGAGCTGAGCTCTGAGTAATAGGTCTCTAAGGGATGTGACAGGGAAGTCCCATAGCAAACTCTCTGCTGGCTGATGGCGCTGCTGGAGCGACCGATGCCCTGCTCTGCAAGTTTGGGCTGGAAAACTCAGAAACACCTTTGCTCAGCTCCTGTGCACTGTTAGAGTGTCAGGGACACCATCCACACCTGCCTGCCAGGATTGTCCACAGGGTCTATCCCAAACTGTTGATCTGCATGTACCTGTTCAGCTCCTGTGACCTTTTTTTTTTTTTTTTAAATATATCTTTATTGATTTCAGAGAGAGGAAGGGAGAGATAGAAACATCAATGTTGAGAGAGAGTCATTGATTGGCTGCCTCCATGCCTTGCACTGGGGATTGAGCCCACAACCCAGGCATGTGCCCTGACTGGGAATTGAACCCCGATCTCCTAGATTCTAGGTTGATGCTCAACCGCTGAGCCATGCCCGGCTGGGCTAGCTCCCGTGACTTTTAAACAGTCACAGGATAGTGCTTATTATGTGCTTGGAGAAAAGAAGTTGAGAAAATGTCATTTCTGCCCCAGCCAAGTCCCCAAGGGGAGGGAGAGGGCAACATTGAGCTTATGAGATCCTTGACCATTGATGACATTGCTGCCATCCCACATGAGGGTGTCCAGGTCCACATGGGCCTAGCCATGGTGAGGAGACACAGTGCCCAATACCAGAGACCCCTCTTAAATATGACAGGATGTCTCACAGTGTGTTTTCCACACTGCCATGAGGCTGTACCAAGTGTCCCTGCTCTGCCTGTGCTAGGAGGAAAGCTACATGTCCACGCCAAGACTCTGCCAGAGCAAGAGGCCTCCATCTGGCCGACCCCTCTGCCTTGTGACACCCTTGTCTTCCTTTCAGGGGATCCTCCTGGTATATGACATCACCAACCGCTGGTCCTTTGATGGCATTGACCGGTGGATCAAGGAGATTGATGAGGTAGGTGTGCACCTAAGGACACCCCTTCCATGGTCGCCCCTCCCCAGGGCATGTGTGCTCCCATTTCCCACTGTGGCCCCCGTTAGCTGCCTCTCCTGTGGCCCCAGCTCTGAGTATCCTTTCTTGCACTGATCACCATGGCACTTGAAGGCCGGGGTCTCATGCCTCAAGGGGCCATGGCTCACACATCTGAGCCCCACCTCATCATAGAATTGGGATGGGGACAGTCAAGAGGGGGGGACATCCCACATTCATACCTGTACTGAGTCCTCTGCCTCCCCTCCCTCCCCGCGCAAGCATGCACCTGGGGTCCCCCGGATCCTGGTTGGGAACCGGCTGCACCTGGCCTTCAAGCGGCAAGTCCCAACGGAGCAGGCTCGCGCTTACGCAGAAAAGAACTGCATGACCTTCTTTGAGGTCAGCCCGTTGTGCAACTTCAATGTCACCGAGTCCTTCACTGAACTGTCCCGTATTGTGCTTATGCGGCATGGCATGGAGAAGATCTGGAGGCCCAACCGAGGTGAGGTGGGGCCAGTGGGGCCACCAGGGCCTGAGACTTGAGTGTTGAGGGCAGTGGACAAGTGACCCTTCAGAGGCCATGGTCCTGCCCAGGTGTCTGGGCTCCCTAGTTGTAGAACTTCCACAGTGTGCCGCAACTGAACCAACTTGCTACCTGCGTGTGCTTTGTTTGGGGATCCCAGAGTTATAGGAGGGGACTGTGTGTTACATTCCAATGATGCTCTCATGCTGGGGGGTGGCATGGACCCTGACTTGTCCCAGAGAAAGCAGGGGAACGGCTTCTAATCACTATGTACTTCCCTGTCCCTCGGGCTGCTCAAGCCATGTCCCCTCAGAGCTGCCAGAGGTAGCTAGCTAGTGTTCCCAGAAGCTTCAGTCTTCTGCGAGGTGCTGGGGGCAGAGCTGGCTAAGCCCTCAGAAGTGGGGTCCCCAAGGACACTTCTCAGTATGCAGCTGTAGGGAGAAAGCAGGATCAGGGTGCCATGTAGGGGCTTCACCTGGTGGTGCCCGGCACCAAGTAGAATAGTAGAGCATCCAGGGTCCTGGTTTGGAAACTTCCATCCCCTACTGAGCGTCACTTGTGCTCATCTGGCTAGATGATAGCTTGTCCCTCAGTGTCCCCCCACCCTTGGGTCCTCAGGCTCCAAGATCTCTCAGCACCTCACTTCCTTTCCCTCTAGTCTGAATGCCCCCATCATCTAACAACTCTCCCCATGGTCTGACCCTCTCCATGGCCTGACCCCCACCATAGTCTGATCCTCCCATCTGATACCTCCCCCGCCACTGATCCCCTTCCCTCATGGTTTGACCCCTGTTGTCTGACTCCCCCTCTCTGACCACCCCCACAGTGTTCAGCCTGCAAGACCTCTGCTGTCGCGCCATCGTCTCCTGCACTCCCGTGCACCTCATCGACAAGCTCCCATTGCCCGTCACCATCAAGAGCCACCTCAAGTCCTTCTCGATGGCCAATGGCATGAATGCCGTCATGATGCACGGACGCTCCTATTCGCTGGCCAGTGGGGCAGGGGGTGGCGGCAGCAAGGGCAACAGCCTCAAGAGGTCTAAGTCCATCCGCCCCCCCCAGAGCCCTCCCCAGAACTGTTCCAGGAGCAACTGCAAGATCTCCTAGCAGGGGAGGCAGGCACTGCCCATCTGGACACGCTCCGGGAGTGAGGTTTCAGGCTTGGGGAAGCTCCTTCTAGGCGCTGGGGCGGCGCCATGTGCAGGGAAAACTTTGGCCACATGACCCCTCCTGGGAGCGTGGGGCACACCTAGTAGGCAGTTGGTCTCAGCCAGACAAGCCCTGTAGGACAGCAGAGGCTGCGCTTGAAACAAGCCCAAGTCCCCACATGCTGTCCCTGGTCCCACCTTGAGGGAACTGTCCTGGGGTCCTGCGGGGCCTGGCTCACTTTCTTATTTATATAGAAGACATTTCACCATTTTTATACCTTTTTAAAGGGCCAACAGGGAAGCCTTAATGCAGCCATGGGGTGAGCTCACATCTGCTTATGGGGATGACCTTTGGGACATTGAAGAGGGTGGGACTGGAGGCAAAGCACTTCACATGGGGTGTGGGCTATGCAGGGGCCAGTGGGGACACACGGAGTCTAGGCAGCAGTCTTGGACCCTACTACCCGTGCTGGCCTTTCTGAGCATGGTGGCTAGTATGCCTACCACACAGTACTGGGCAGTGGTGCAGGTTTCGGCCCAGCAGTTGACACAGTGAGGTGATGTTCCTATGTGTCGTGGAGCCATGGACTCCAAGCAGAGTGTCGATATTTCTAAGAGAAAAGAAGTGGGGTACACCCCACATCCCTCCCTGCGTGGAGGCACCTTTGGTCACTTTTACATACATTGCTACGTGAGATGGGCTCAGCATCTCTGTGAAGGTGCAGAGTTGTCTGTAGGTGATAAATACTCAAGGGGCTACCAGGCGCTCTGCAGGTTTGGACTGAGTTGTTGCACACTCGCCTCTGGGCGTCTGGACTCCACTCTCGCCAGCTTCTATTCCCTGACCTTGGGTATCACCCCATAGCAGCTCCTTGCCCGGCATCACCCCTCTTTGAGGTCACGTATCACCAGAACCATCTGACCCAGTTTTTAGGGATGCCACCTGGCACAGTCATAGCAGTGGACCTCTTCCATGACCTGGCAGCCAGCCCTGAGCTGGAGGCCTTTCCTCCTCCCACCTGCCTGGCTGGCAACATGGCCACCAGTCACACTGGTGCTCCACTCTACCTCCTGCTGGGCTCTCCCTGGACCTGAGACCCCCTGGGACTCCTCTGTGGTGGGTGTCCCCTGTGGGAGGGAGCCCTATGTCTGCTGTTCTGGGAGGCAAGTTGGGCAGGGTTCTGTGGCCCTTGTTAGCAGGGGTGCCTGGGGACCCTGGCCAAGGCCTGACCACCAACAGGGTTAGGCAGAGGAGGCCCTGCCTGTCCTGTCCTGCCAACAGAGCCCCTTTCTTTGTACTTTGAACCAAATAACATGAACTTTATTGTGAGGGTGTGGACAGCCCTGCATTCACCACATAAACACTACCCTTTGCTGCTGACACTTGCACCATTCCTGTGCTCATTTTGGACGGTTTTTGTTTCTTTGTACAGTAAATGTAATTCAGCTCTGATCTCCAGGCTACATTTTATGTGAATTAAAGTCTCTGGTTTTAATTTACTGGTGGGTTAGAGGTGTGATGTGGTGGGGTGGCTCTGCGCTTCCACACAATGGGTCTGGGTCCAGGGCTATTGTTGATCTCTCCATCCCCCATGACTAGTGTCAGTGACTGGTATACATCCTGGCCACTAGGGCTGCATGTGGCTGCATCAGCCTCCTTGGTTACAGGGCAAGCTGTGTTTCTTAATGGGCTAGGCAGGCAGCCCTCCCCAGCTGTCCCTCCCTGTGCGGTAGTGAAGCAGATGGCTGGCTGGACCACCTGCTCCCCGCTGCCCCGCTGGAGCCTGGGATCCTGAACCTGGGAAACTGAACCCTTGCTAAGGGCTTTGGCAGGGCATAACCACTGAGTTCACTGCTGCTGGAGGGCAGTGAGCATGGAGCCAGGGATGCAGTGGATCCCTGAGGTGGGCCATCCCGAGACTCACTCCAGCCCCAAGGACCATCACATGGAACATTACCCCCACACTCAGGGACTGCTCCTCAGACTGCAGCTTTGTGGGAGGGTTCTGGGCCCAGTGGCCCCCCATACCTGAGGCCCCCCTCTCAAGGCAGATCAGTGGCTTCCTCAGCACCTGGGATGTCTTGGTCTCATTCTGACCAGACCAGGCTCTTATTACCCTACCTCCTGGGTCAGAAGGTCAGACACAGGGTCACGGGACGTTTTCCATCCAGTCTCAAAGCAGATGCTCCTGGGGCCCCAGACCCCAGGGAAGGGTTTGGAAGGGCAGATTCTGGCGGCCCCTGTGTTTGATCTCCCTTCCCCCTCCTTCCGGGTCTTGAATCCAGGCTGGGAGGGTCTAGGAGGCTGCTTTGATCCCCTGAGCCCAGGGCCTGGAGGGAGAAGGGCCTCGGGTTACAGTGTCCCCTCCCCTCCTCACTCTGGCCAGAGCCGGCCCTTCTCCGCCCCTCAGTAACTGGTGGCCAGTGTCTCCTTGCTCTTGGGCCTCAGCCCCTCCCCAGCCCTTCCCCCACCACGCCCCCTGCCCTGTGTTGACCACAGAGGGGCCAGGCTGTGAAGGAGTCTCGCCAGAGCTGAGATAGATCTGGAACACCAACCCATCCAGCCCTTTGCACAGGGGTGTTGAGAGGAAGCATCTGCTGTGGGCTCAGACCTTGGGGGCCAAAGGGGAGCCCGGAGGATCGGCCAGGGGCCCAAGGTCAGGGACGCTGACCATAGGCCTAGAAGGGTGGATGCCTGAAGGGATCAGGGCAAAGCAGGGCCTGAAGGGCTGGCAGCCACACACCCCCACCCCCTGGGCCTGTGGTCCCCATGTCAGCCCAGAGGCTGCTCCTACCTCTACTCCTCATGGTTGGGCTGACCTCGGGGGCCAGCCTGCTGCAGGGGCCCAGAAGCCACCCAGGCGTGTGCCCCAACCAGCTCAGCCCCAACCTGTGGGTGGACGCCCAGAGTACCTGTGAGCGCGAGTGCATCGGGGACCAGGTGAGTGTGGGCACCATCCCCA